ACAGACTTGCAACCACAAAATGTTGTGACAGAAGCAATGTTGATGATTTTGTGGTAGAGACAGGAAAGGCTTCAAATGCGTAGCAGAAAACAGTTTATCGCGCCCGTAAAATTTTGCTTTGAAAAATATTTGCAAGTTGGGCTGTTCAATAATTTGTCATGTGTTAATTACCCAATGAATGTAACACTTTTTATCTAGCTGTGAATTATTCCCACATGATTTCTAATTTCTCCAGATGGATTTTGTATTCAGAGGTTTTCATCAAATGGTTTGTTGAAGTAATTTTCAGGCTGAAAGTTGTTTGCCAGTTTACTCTTTATATTTTATCATCTCACATTCCAGTACTCTAAACTGAAATATTGGAATATTTCCCCAGGCTGTTCCCCATTCCCATCTTCATATACACCTGACCAGAAGGCTGATAGCTATTAATTGCGTTTTCTGGTACAGTAAGCTGAAGTTTTTCACTACATAAATGATTCATTCAGAAAAGTGAAGTTATTGAGCAAAAGTTAAATTGGGCTTTAATTTGCCTCAGGTCTTTTTTTTTTTTTTTTTTAAGCCACATCTTGGCTTGTTACTCAGTGTTGAAATGTTTCTTTTATCTATATGGTTTTTAAAATGTTTTCATTTTATTTTTTAAAAAAGGAAAAGAAACTGGAGCAAAGTGAGTGGTTTGTTAAACATGAGATTTAGGGCCAGGAAGGACACAAATCTTTAGTATGTATGCAGAAAAAGAAAGTATTTTCTTTTACAGCAGATGCATGAAAGATTGATTTTTTTTTTAAAATGTAGTTTTAAATGGAATGATAACATGATGCCAATACCACCTACCCAGGAAATGCAACCAAACATTTTTTTTTAAAATGCTTGGCAAAATAACAAGGTATTTGTGCCTAAGCCAGAAGTTTCTTGGTGGGCCTCTCTGTATTCTGCATGTTGTTGAACACCAACTCACATTGTACTTGATCATTGGGAAGTCTGGTGGGAATTGTTGTTCAAGGCATCTAAATGGCACCAGGTTGGGTGAGGCTGCTAGAGAAGGAAGAGGAACTAAATTCTCTACCCCTTCCTGAAGGCAAAGGTCTTTTCCTAGCCTTGCTACCTGAAGTCCTTTAAGGAGAAATGCCATCCCAGAGGGACCTGGACAAGTACTGCACCACTAAGCTATTGTCCAGTAGGGTGCTGTCCTCTGCTTCACCTTCCCACCCTGTTAAATCTCACTACCAGTAGCTTAGGATGGATGCCTGTGATTTTCCCCCAAAGGCAACAGAAATGCGTGAAAATTTCTGCAGTGACCTACAAGGAAGGTCATAACAGCTGTGGGAATCTGAACCTCCATGAGCAGGCATCCCCAACCTGTGGCCCTCCAGATGTTTTGGCCTACAACTCCCATGATCCCTAGCTAACAGGACCAGTGGTCGGGGAGGATGGGAATTGTAGTCCAAAACATCTGGAGAGCCGTAGGTTGGGGATGCCTGTCCATGAGTATAAAAGCCACCGAGTCAAGGGAAAGATGAGCATGTCACAGCAGAGGGAAAGGACACAAGTTTTTGGCACCAGGTGGAAATCCATATAAATTGGTGGATCCGCCATGCCAAGTGTTGGCTGGATTCTGCAGTGAAGCTCAGGGTGGTAGGAAAGCTAGGGCGTTAAGACCTCTGGCAGGAAAGCACTTTGGATGTGGACTTCCCCCTCAACAGCCTGAGGAAGAACTCCAGCTTGTAGGAAGAAGAGGGCATAAACCCCATCACAGCGAATCATGCAGCCATCATACCATAAACTGAGATGAAGTACATTGTATGTGTGTGTGTGAAGAATCATTTCAGGAAGGGATGAATCACATAAAAGGTTGCGAGGTCTCTTTGAAGTGGCACTGCAATTTTAAGGGGCTGCTCTCGGCTTGCCAGGTGTCACAGTTTGATCTCTACAGTAGAGGCCCATGACAATTTTCACATTATGGAAGTCTGTGGACTGTAAATACTGTCGGTTTCAGCTTAGCCTCTGCTGGCCGTTATGTGGTGAGCAAGTGGTGGTGCGAGAAGGAATTAAGTTCAAGAAAATAAGTTTTAGATGTGCACATCCAATTCAAGAAGGTTGCTTATGCAGAATGCTCCCTCTTTACCAAGGGAGAATGAAACCTACTGGAGCCATATTCTGAATTATCCATTCTCCACAATAGTTATGATGGATTTATCCAGAATTTATCCTTCCCATCATCTCTGAATTTTACCCTGAACTTCCGTGAGTGGATAATTCGTATGCAAAATAATCCAATGAATTTTGGAGCTGTTCTGTGAGTGAATGATGCCTATGCGTAATGTTTATGACCCTGGCTTCAGATGGTTTGTGACAGTGTTCCTCAGCCCTGGGTCTGCAGAAGTTGTTGGAGTACACGTTCCATCTTCCCAAGAGAGCTTAGCCAATGTTGGGAGTTGCAGTGTAACATCTGGGGACTGAAGCTTGAAAAGCAGTGGTTTAGGACATACGTATTTCACCCAGGGCCAAACGAGGTGTAATTATGTACATGTAGATGCCTCGAAAAATGGAAACTGAATTACTTGGATCTGTTGTTGTTGTTGTTGTTGTTGTTGTTGTTGTTGTTGTTGTCGTCATTATTGGATCCTAAGTTCACATCAGTGTATGCCTTTCCCCAGAAAAAGAGGTGTTGGATGAATGCTTCCCTTGTTCTCTTATAATGGCAATGGCAATAGCAATAGCACCCACCTTAGAGGTGCCAGAACTGAGTTCCAGTGAGTTCCGGCTGAAAAAAGCCCCGCCTTTTCCACTCTCCACTACATTTCCCCATGCCACCTAAAAATCTGGTCCAGAGGCTTGGAAGACAGCTAGAACAGTATATAGGATGCTGCTGAGAACTGCAGGAGAGCTCGACAAAAATCACCTCCTCTCCTTCTGCCAACAGAAAACTGCTTAGTAGACAAAATGGCTCTCATCTGTTCATGCAGCCTTGGCACAAATCCCCTTTGGAAGTGCCAACCTAGAAATCTCCAACTCCATGGCCAAGACCATGGCCACCATCTCAGAAAGAAAAGCTGTTAAGCCAGTCAGATCGGAGGAGTTCCAAAAGAATCACGATCTTCTCTTGGGCATTCAACAGCAGGTACCTACCACTGAAACTGGCTGTTTGCTGAGAAGAGTACCAGGAAAGGTATCACTCACTGGGCCTCCACTGCTCCATAGGACAAACTGGCAGCACAGCCAGTTTCCATAAGCTCTTTCAAGTATAATTTCTGACTAGGACAAAATCTCCTGTCTTACTGCTTGCAGATACGATTTGTGCTGTCTATTTCTTTGGTTCATGATTGTATGGTGTATTCATAATACACATTGCAGTTTGATGTGTTTTCTCCTCCTTGTTAGCCACCTAGAGCAATATTATGTTGCATAGGCAGGGGGAAAATATTAACAAAAAAACCCTCCTTGCCCCCGGGCTCCTTCTCCTTTGCCTCCAGCAGCAAAATATCTTGGGCTGGCCCTGCTCTGAGGGCAAGGCGTTTCATTGACCCAGACATAGTCTTTGCAATCATGTCAGCTGTGCTGGGTGCAGGTGTGTCATTCTCCATCAATTAATAAGGAAAGACAATGCACTGGGAAATTAGCAAAGGGGAAAGGAAATTAGCAAAGGGGAAAGGAAATTTTTTGTGGGTGGGGTGCTTGGTTTTGTTGCATTCTTTACCTTTAAGGTGGTTGTTGGGTTTTGAGAGTGCCTTTTCCTTGACTCAGCAAATTTGTCGGCATTCTGCAGCCTTCCTGGGTGCCTACGTTTTCTGAAAACCAAGCAGGTAGGGTTACCTGTATGGGAAGACAGGGAGATGTTCTGTACTGTTTCATGCATGGTGACTTGCCGTTATTATTATCGATTATAGTTCTGTACTCTTTATTGCAATTGTTAAGTGTGAACAGTTTAATTATTATTTGCTGGTATTTAATTTTACTGTTTACTATTATTTTCCAATGGATTATTGAACATTGCTTTGTTTGATATAAATTGTGGATTTTAAAGTTATTGGGACTTTTATTGTATCGGATCAGATTGTGTGTGATCCTTGCTGTCTATTTTGCTGTTTCTTCTGCTTGTAAACTGCCATGTGTATAGAAAGGTGGTGTACAAATTAAAATTGGGGTTGGGGGGGGAATGAAACGAAACGGCACTGAATAGAGTTCTTAATGCTGAATCCTGGTTCAAGTTAAGCGTGGATAATTCATTATCTAGCCTTGGTACGGGATCCAATATTTTATTTACTTCCCGCATGCCATCCCTTTAAAATTACAATTTCACACTTTTCAAGGAAGGAAAGGAGATTTCACATAAAAGAAGTTGTTTAGGAAGAGGTGGCACTTTAGGCAAAATATATATAAAAAATAAATTAGAATAGTGCAGCACTTGATTTCAAACTGTTATAAAGCCCCACTGTTATTAGCAGTGAAGTGACTGAAATGTGCAGTTGTGTGATGGAAGTCATGGCAATGACATAGACTTACTTAGCATTTTAAAAACTTTTACAAGGCAGCCTTAAAGACATTGACAGGAAATATATTCAAGCTGTCAAATACCAGGGAAGGAAAAAGGCACCCGGTCAGAAGTAAGATAAACTGACACATGTGTGGTAAAATTAGAAATTCCACAGCAGAAGCACTAGCAACCCTGCCCAATAGAACATATAAAATACTGTATACATTCATAGTGCAGCATCTACAACAGTTATTTTGACACACACACACACTCAAAACAAAATTACCATACCTCAATTTTATTTGTTTATTTGTCACTAATATTTTAATGAACTTTTTAAAAAAATACAGTCCATTTACTAAAATGTTCAACCCATGTCTGTCCTGAGCTAATTTCAGTCTAATGCAGAAACAGCACAAGAACCGTATCTTGCAACGCTCAGCTTCACTGGAGCCATGTTGGAAGACTCAGGACAGACAAAAGAAAGTACTTTGCACAGTGCGTTGTTAAGTTATGGGATTCATCACCCTGGATAGCTCAGTTGGTTAGAGGGTGCTGTAGATAACGTCAAGGTTGCAGGTTTGATTCCTGAATTGCAGGGAGTTGGACAACTCTATGATTCTGTGTTCCAACTCTATGGTTCTATGATCTATGATGTAATGATGGCTGCCAACCTGGGTGGCTTTAAAAGAGGATTAGACAAATTCATAGTTTGAAATAGCATGAGACTCTTCATCTCAGGCTTGTGGGTTCAAGCCCCATGTCGGGCAAAAGATTGGACTGGCAAAAGGTGGGATGGCCATCTGTCATGGATGCTTTAGTTGAGATTCTTGCATGATCCCTACCAACTATACAGTTCTGAATCTAATATTTTATTATCTGGCTACTAGCCACAATGGCAATGTCCTTCTTCTACAGTCTGGGGCAGTATGCCTCTCAATGCCAGTTGCTGAGAATGATTTATTTAGCGAGATTTATATACCACTTCATCAAATAACATCTGTACATGGTTGACATTTCACCTTGAAGAATTCAACAACCCACTCCTCCCCCAGTTCGCCATGCTACTCTTGGAAGAAGCAGGAAATATATAAGGTATATAAGGTATAGCAGGTATATAAGGTAAAGGTAAAGGGACCCCTGACCATTAGGTCCAGTCGTGACCGACTCTGGGGTTGTGGTGCTCATCTCGCTTTATTGGCCGAGGGAGCCGGCGTACAGCTTCCGGGTCATGTGGCCAGCATGACTAAGCCACTTCTGGCAAACCAGAGCAGCGCACAGAAACGCCGTTTACCTTCCCGCCGGAGCGGTACCTATTTATCTACTTGCACTTTGACGTGCTTTCGAACTGCTAGGTTGGCAGGAGCAGGGACCGAGCAATGGGAGCTCACCCCGTCACGGGGATTCGAACCGCCGACCTTCTGACGGCAAGTCCTAGGCTGGTTTAAGCCACAGCGCCACCCGCGTCCCTCCACTTCATCAAATAACATCTGTACACAGTTGTCATTTCACCTTGAAGAATTCAACAACCCACTCCTCCCCCAGTTCGCCATGCTACTCTTGGAAGAAGCAGGAAAAATTCTGTGCATGTGAATGGGAAGAATGCACATAAAGGGTAAGGCTATGTTGATGTATATTGCCTCAGCAGTTGGAGGGAGCTACTTGCTGATCATCAGTTGTTGGGGAACAACAGCAGGAGAGGGCTAGTCCCCTCATAGACTCATAGAGCTGGAAGGGACCCTGAGGATAATTTGGTCCAATCCCCTGCAGTTCAGGAATATGCAGCTGTCCTGTACAGGGATAGAACCTGAAACCTTGGCATTATGAGCACCACGCTCTAAGCAACTGAGCTATTTCCTCTGGTCAGTGCTATTTTTCTAGAAAAAGAGGTGCCAAAGCTCACCATGAACATCTCCCTTGTTCTCTTAGAATGGCAATGGAAGCTACCTGAGAGATGTCGGAACTGAGTTCCAGCTGGAAAAAAAAAGCCCTGCCTCTGGTCAGGAGCACCAACTCCATGGGGACAAGGGGTCTTCAGACCCACCAAAATCCTTGGCCAAAGGGCTGGGCCCTTTCAATGTTGAGGGGGTGGAGGGGGCTCCCAACGGTTAGCTATCCCGACTATCGACTTCCAGTCGCACGTGCGATGCGCATCTGCATGTGCCTGTTGTTATGACCCTCTGACAAACCTGGAGTGACAGCGCTACACAGGAAGGCACTCTGGACCTCTGGCACTATGGCGAGACCAACACAGCTTCCCATGCTTGCCAAAGGGTTGCACCAAAGTGCTGGTACCTGCTGACAGGCTCAGTGCACCAGCGCAAAACTGGCACCAGCACACGATCTCTGAGGAGTGTAGCTTGCCAGTGTTGTGTGTATGTTTGTGTCAATAGGGTTGACATCCTATTCTTCTGTTGCTATTGCTATTGCTATTGTTATTGCTATTTTTATTGTTATTAGTATTCCCTGCCTATCTGACTGGGTTGCCCCAGCCACTCTGGGCAGCTTCCAACATATACAAAAACATAATAAAACATTAAACATTAAAAAAAATTCCTTATACACGGATGCCTTCAGATGTCTTCTAAAGGTTATATAATTACTTATCTCATTGGCTCGGGAGTCGCATAACTCCATACCCTCCAACATTTCTCCTTTGAAAATAGGGACATCCTAAGGAAAAGCAGGACATTCCAGGATCAAACCAGAAACCGGAACGGCTTCTGTAAATCTGGGACTGTCCCTGGAAAACAGGGACACTTGGAGGGTCTATATGAATATCCTGGTCATTGCCAAAGCTATCTTTACATGTATGTAGTAGTCTTCACGTATGTAGCAGCATAGACTGAACCTAATGGCTAGCGAGAGAGGAGGCATTAGGCCTTAAGTTGTGAGAACAGGCTTCAGTGTCCCAAAGTACTTCATGGATCAACGCTGTTAATGTCACCATTAACACAAGAACTCTCTTGGGTGTGCCAAACAGAATACACCCTTAACGTCTTCACCGGAACCAACAACACCATTTCCAAGCTACCAGCAGTGCAGACTCGGGAAAAACACCAGTTTTAATTATAAACTTTATAGATACATATATATATATTTTCAGCAGCATTTCACACTTGGCACATGGTGAAAACTGTTCCTCACCCTATGAAGTCTGAGGCCGTTGTGCTGAGGGAAAAGAAGTGCCACTGAAGTTAGAGCGGACCAAATTCATCCTTGGCGTAACTCCATGGACATGGCTGTCCATCCCACCAGTCGTGCCTTTGGCCTGTTGTGCCTTTGCTGCTGTGGGTTAGAAATTCTGCTTCGCACTGCCTTCGCCCTTCCTTTTCACACAGGAGGACTTCACAAAAGCTCTACTTGCAACTAATTTGTACATTTAGTGCCCTGTTAGGGGAGGACAATGTGTGCACAGAGAAACGACAACTCCTCTCTCTCTCTCTCTCTCTCTCTCTCTCTCTCTCTGCGTGTGTGTCTCTCTATCCCTAATTGTGCGCACACACAAAATTGGCTTGGCAAATTACTCTCAGCTTTATAAATCCTGACAGTTTTCCTTACAGAGCCCTAACCTTTTTAAAAAGATCCATCCTGAAGTCCCGTGAAATAAACTGACTTTGACTAGAAAAAGATGTAAAGCAGCCTTATGGTTACATTGGTATTCTTCCTCAGAGATCAGGGAAAATATGACAAGTCTGACTCCTATTATATTATATAGCATATCCCATTTAACAGCGCTAGAGCCGAACTGTGAAGGCATATCCTAAGATATTTTCACTTCACGCATTTGACATTGGCATTAGTTATTGCATTTAAGAGACAGTCAGCTGTTTATTGCTATTTCCTCCTCGCTGTGAATGTTAACCACAGAAGGGGAATATTTGATGTTGCAAATTACTTAGCTTCCCTGTCTTCATTTCCCTTTTAGTATGCAATTATTTGTTTGGTTTCACTGAGCAAATGAAATTTCAAGGGCATTTCAAGGAAAATAAACAAAGTACAGCCCTAAAAGCGGGGGGCAGTCGGGGGGGTGGGGGAGAGGGAAGAGGAGAGAGGCTGGACTTTGTATTCAGGAAGAGCACTCCAGTCATGCATATGTATGAATCAACAAAATCAGGTTAGAAATTGGAAATTGCACTCCACACACTAGAGCATTTTTCTTGCTCTAGAGATCTTTGCTACAGATTTGAAGGACTCATATATATATATATAAAACACAGCAGCATGACTGGAACAGATGTTTTTTATGGACTCAGCTTGTTAATAGTCTTTTTAGCTTCTCCTTAGGACTTAAAGCAGGCACCTCACTTGTCCTGAATATTTGAAATCCTGTTAACATTGTCCAAAATGTGCACTAACAAGCTGCAGTGAAAATGCTGGTGCCTTCTACATGGCTCAGAAGGGGGAGAGGGTTGCTCCACTTCTTCTGCAAGCTTGCCTAGCCTGCTCCCATACAGAAGGCGAGGTTTCAAAGCTGGAAGCATGGAGTGGAAAGCTAGCTAAGAAGTCAATCTGATGAATGGCAGACTGCTTCAGAATCGAGTACCACACAAACTATGGGAACAGACACACGATTCCTTCTATGCACACTTACGTGGGAACACATCCAAATGAAAACAGTAAGCTGAGAAAAAAATGGATAGGACCAGCCGACATCATAGATTGTCTGTCTCACATTTAGTGGATGGCAAACCACTTGGACACCATTGGCCACTAGTTGGATGAGTTTTAAAAGGAATACAGCACATTCATAGAGCATTGGACCTATCTGTCATTAGCTATTGGATATGACATTGAAAAAGAACCTCTTGAGGCAGATATGTGGTATAATGGTTAGAGCATCAGATTAGGGTTGGTTAAAGAAGCTCCCAAGCTCATCATGGAAGCCTTGGTGAAGGAGGGCAGGAATGAGGGACTGGTGATGGAAAACGCCAGCTCCCAGCTCTCACAGAGGTCTGGAGCCTGGGAAAGAAGGGTGACCAGAGACCACCTTGTCTGGCCCCACCACCCAGAGCCCAAGCCAGCAATCACCCTTGTGGTGGTGTTGCACCTCCCAGAACTGTTTACGTCCAAGGCTCTTCTAGCTCGCCCAACCCCCCACTCACCCTTTGTGGTAGAGACAGATGCCTCTGATAGAACAATGGGAGCTGTGCTGTTGCAAGCTGGGAAGGGAGGGGAGTTCATTCCATTCTAAGAAGCTGCTCCCAGCAGAAGAGAACTACACGGTGCGGGAGAAGGATCTTTTGGCTATCAAGGATTATTTTGGGGTCTGGCAGCACTTCTTGGAAGAGGCCGAACATACGGTGGAGGAGTGCACACAGATCATTGGAACCTAGAGTGCTGGCAGATGAGCAGACATCCTAACCGGCACCAGATCTGCTGGCTGCAGTTCCTTCAAGTAACATACATTCCCAACAGCCAGAATCGATGAGTGGATGTGCTCTCAAGAAAGCCAGAGTATGGTGGGCAGTCCCATGCACCTGGGCTAGAGCAAATCCTATGGTTAGAGCAGTTGGAGCTGACTGGATCAATGGTACCATGGGAAACAGAGCTCAAGGAACAGATACAGGCAGACGATATGCCCCAGAGAAGCTGGCCAGGCTGGGAGGAGGAGACTGGTGAGACAGAGGGGTTCTCAGAAAGGGTTGGCTAGCTTTACTATGAATTTACTATGAATTGAACTACCTGTTGGGGAGCTCCTGGGTGAAAGTTCCACATCATTGTCATGACAATCCAACCACTGGTCACTTGGGGCAGTGCAAGACTGGTGGCCATGGGTATGGAAAGATGTTAAGAAGTATGTCCATGTATGTGAGACATAACAGAAAGCTAAGCTCTCCAATGAGTTTTCAGCTTGTTTGCTGCAGCCAATACCCCTCCCTCAGGGTCGTGGGAAGCCATAGCCACAGACTTTATCACTGACTTGCCTTACTCAAAGAGGTAAACTGTGATCTGGCTGGTGGTGGATCTATTTACGAAGATGGCACATTCCATCCCCTGTAATCTATTTACGAAGATGGCACATTCCATCCCCTGTAAGGGGTTTCCTAATGCCAGGGAGACTGTACAGATGTTTGTGGACCATATCTTCAACCTACATGGGCTCCCATGGTGGATTGTCTCTGACCAAGGAACCCAGTTCAATGCCCAATTCTGGAAGACACTCATGGAGGTGCAGCTGTGCTTGTCTTCCACCTGCCACCCAGCTACAAATGACAAGGCAGAGAAAACAAACACAACTGTACTTTTGCCTGGTTGGCAACTTGCCTGGTAAGGCTTTCAACTTGCCTGCTAAGGCTTCTTGCTTGCCTGGAAGAATGACAGAAATCGGTGCACAGCTGTGTGTATCAACTACATATTGTACAATGGTCATATTTGTTGCTCTATCCACTTATTTTTCTGAGCATGTCCACTTTTGCCTCTGACCTGGACCCCACTGATATGTTGCCCCTGGAAGGTAGTCCAGGAGAGAATGTGGCCTTCAGCTGTGAAGGGTTCTATAACTTGCTGTTGAAATGGAACACTCAGGATGAAACGGTGAAATCAGCTATGATTAAATGGGCACAAGATGTCGGACATAACATAATGATGGCTGACTGGGAACAGTTATGGACCACAGGTATGAAATTTACGGCATGTAATGCCCTAAGAGAAAATTTAATGAAAATGATTTCTAGGTGGTACATGACACCAGTCAAGCTTGCAAAAATTTATCATTTGCCCGACAATAAACGTTGGAAATGTAATGAGACTGAAGGTACATTCTTTCACCTTTGGTGGACATGCCCAAGGATTAAGACATTCTGGGAGATGATTTATAATGAAATGAAAAAGGTATTTAAATATACCTTCCTGAA